TCATTGACGAGCTACGCAAAACCAAGATCATATTTTGCGCATGTTTTGCGCAGCTTGTCAGTGAACAACGGCTCTGTGTAGTTAATGCTGCTCCATGTGAAAGCACAATATAAAAAATTAAATATTAAATATAATCTAAAAATATATATGGTATAAAATAACAAAAAATAAAAACCAAACTGCTACCAAACATGTGAAGCAGAAATATTGAAGCAAAATAACTTATTACTTACACTAAAATGAACAGCATGTAAAAGAAAGTTTTGTTTGGACTATTTTATAGTGCTGATTCACATTCAGATTTGTATTTTAACAAATGTAAATCTGGGGAACTGTTAAAGGCATTAATAAATCATATAACAACTAGAGGTTTGACTTCTTGCAAACTGCAGAACAAAACCAAAATATTGAGAAAGGCTCCAGTGTCTCAGAGATTAAATTTCATAAATAAGTGCTAATATAGTAAAATAAAGAAAAGTAATTATTTCTGTTAACTTACAATTGCCAATGCCAATACCACACAACTGCCAACTGGAACATGTCTTGCAGCATGTATGTGACTCCCTTGGAAATACATGCATGTGACTGGCACAATAATTCTTTTATGTTTAAAAACTGTTTTAGAGACATATACACTGAAAGACAGGGTATCTAAAATTTATTTAGCATTTACTCTACTTCTGTTCTGACTTCCATTAAGTTCCTCAGTCCAACCAAATGCATCATTTGTTTCCTCTTGTCAAGGTTTGTCCAAATGTGCCAATATGATTTTCTCTTTGACCTCTCACAGGCTCCCCCAAACCGCTCCAATACAGGCACTTACTCCTAATGTGGTCATAAACTCTACTTTTAGAGTACTTTTTCTACTTTTTCTGTAAGCACTACTTGAGTGCTCCACAAGTCTTGGGATTTCTCACCAAAGAAACCTCAAGTGTGCTGTGAAGTTACCAACTGCTATCCTCAGGAATTACAGGCAGAATGTTAATAGATATTTACTGTACATTGCCAAAAATGCAGCAAAAAGAGAGAGGAATTGATAGTAATGATTACTTAAAAGCAGGGGGGAACAGGGAAATGTTGCAAGCCAGATCAAACTCCACAACTCCCTACAGCTCAATAGTTTCAATGTGTAATTCATTTTTTGTCTTTAATCATTTCTTTATACCCAGTTATGAATTAGAAACATATCTTTATGAAGTGTCACGCATGACTCAACAACAAGATACACGACTGCATTGTATGTTCTGTATTCAAAACATGCTGTCTTGGAAATTCAAGGCAGACAGAAACAAGAGTTAAAAAAAGATCTTAGCCCCTGTCTAAACATGTGGGTCATGTTAACTATTAACGGATACAGTCATCATCTTCAACCCTTTCCGCCCCCCTGCCGACCCAAGCAGCCCATCCTCGGGTCAAATGTGCTAGCATTCCATTCATGACCTCACTCTGACAGCTGACCCCTCATACTTGACCACCCCTGAACATGCTGCAAGTTTATCTCCTCTGCAGGGTGAGTGTCTACCATCAGATCCACCTATTAATCTCTACGTCCATCCCCTTTCCTCTCGGTCCACAACATGGCCCACTTCTAAAGCAGTTGGACACCCAACTGAGCCGAACCTCATGAGCTCATTCTGTCTAACAGACCGGTGTGGAGAGAATGACTAAAGGTCAAACTGGACATCTGTTATGTTTCAACTGTGAAAAATGGCCAGCTTTAACAAAACACAGAAAGACAAATGAGCTGTGTTATTTGTGTGGTATTGTGAAGGAAGGAAGGAATGTGGAAAATGCTGATGAAAAGGGGCTCAACGGGCAACAAATGGACCGGCTTTATAATAACGTGGTGTGATTTTGATTATAAATCCTTAAATCAAAATCATTTCAAACCTGATTAACATATGAATCTCAATAAACATACATAAAACAGACTGGAAGCCTACCTTTAGAAGAAGTACTGGGGTGGTGCTTGTTAAGCGCTCTCAGGCCCTGCAGTGGGATGTCGCCGCCCTCCAGGACACTCTTGTAAATGTGCCGTTCACATTCCGGAGCTGCCTGCCCACTGGCAGACAAGCTGTCCTTCTTCTCCACTTCACCGTTGCCTGCTTTACAGGCTGAGCTGGGCACAAATAGAGATATGAAGCTGTGACTCACATAAATCATCGTCTTCATGTGACATATCTGAATAGAACAGAATGCTAGTTCCACGTTTACTGTATATGACAAGAAAATTCTTGTTATTAAAAGAAGATATAGAAAATAGAAATAGAAAATATAAACTACTGAAATACTATACTACAGAAATAAAAATACTATAAAATATTTTAAAAAATACTTTGC